ACCGCCTCTCTGGCAGGGGATGACAGTGGTTCGAAACAGCCGACCTGTCACGAGCCCTGTCTCGCACCGCCTCTCTGGCAGGGGATGACAGTGGTCGAAACAGCCGACCTGTCACCGAGCCCTGTCTCGCACCGCCTCTCTGGCAGGGGATGACAGTGGTCGAAACAGCCGACCTGTCACCGAGCCCTGTCTCGCACCGCCTCTGGCAGGGGATGACAGTGGTCGAAACAGCCGACCTGTCACGAGCCCTGTCTCGCACCGCCTCTCTGGCAGGGGATGACAGTGGTCAGAAACAGCCGACCTGTCACCGAGCCCTGTCTCGCACCGCCTCTCTGGCAGGGGATGACAGTGGTTCGAACCAGCCGAGCTGTCACCGAGCCCTGTCTCGCACCGCCTCTCTGGCAGGGGATGACAGTGGTTCGAAACAGCCGACCTGTCACCGAGCCCTGTCTCGCACCGCCTCTCTGGCAGGGGATGACAGTGGTTCGAAACAGCCGACCTGTCCTCGAGCCCTGTCTCGCACCGCCTGTCTGGCAGGGGATGACAGTGGTTCGAAACAGCCAGCCTGTCCCGAGCCCTGTCTCGCACCGCCTCTCTGGCAGGGGATGACAGTGGTCCGAAACAGCCGACCTGTCCTCGAGCCCTGTCTCGCACCGCCTCTCTGGCAGGGGATGACAGTGGTTCGAAACAGCCAGCCTGTCTCAGTGCACCAGCGACGCCCTTCTGGCGGGGATGGCGGCGACACTAGTGTCGCAACGCCATGGGACGGTTCACGGCGCTTGCGGCGCTGCCGATGTCCGCTCGACGCTCACACTCACTCTCCACTCGACGGAGGGTCGGCCCCAGCCGCGACCGACCACCGCAGCTGCCTCGGCGACGGCAGGCGGCGGCGAGCTCGGCCAGCACGCCGAGCACGCTGGTGACATTGCAATGAGCATTAACGGGGCAATTCTCAACCGGAGGTGCAGTACCATTGCAATGAGCATTAACGGGGCAATTCTCAACCGGCGGTGCAGTAACGATGCAATGAGCATTAACGGGGCGATTCTCAACCGGCGGTGCAGTAACATTGCAATGAGCATTAACGGGGCAATTCTCAACTGGCGGTGCAGTAACATTGCAATGAGCATTAACGGGGCGATTCTCAACCGGCGGTGCAGTAACATTGCAATGAGCATTAACGGGGCAATTCTCAACCGCCGGTGCAGTAACGATGCAATGAGCATTAACGGGGCGATTCTCAACCGGCGGTGCAGTAACACTACAATGAGCATTAACGGGGCAATTCTCAACCGGCGGTGCAGTAACGATGCAATGAGCATTAACGGGGCGATTCTCAACCGGCGGTGCAGTTTGGCACCATTCGGTATTCATAGACAGCAGAACACGAGCTGAACACAACGGTGGCGACGAGCACCCATACACGGCAGCACTCTTACACTCTACAGCGTCGGCGCACCGCTGGCTGGAGCCGGCTGACTGCGCAGATCGCCGCGCAGATGGCAGCACAGATGGCAGCACACTCTTACACTCTACAGCGTCAGCGCACCGCTGGCTGGAGCCGGCTGGCTGCGCAGATCGCCGCGCAGATGGTAGCACAGATGGCAGCACACTCTGACACTCTACGGCGTCAGCGCACCGTTGGCTGGAGCTGGCAAGCTGCGCAGATCGCCGCGCAGATGGCAGCACAGATGGCAGCACAGATGACCGCACACTAGCTGAGCAGGCCCCGCTCGGCGAGCCAGGACTTGATGAGTCGGGTGCGCTATGGTGGCCGCGCGGTGGAATCCACAGGACGCCGGTGTTCTCTCTGCGTAACCTGACAGATAAATTACGAAGATCAACTGGACCATACGACTTAGGGATCTATTCTCCAGCACCCAAGACGCCATCCAAATGTAAAATCAGCGTGCTGTTCCCCTTCGTGTAGCGCTCCATCGCCGCTGACATCCGTTCAAATCAAAATGGTTCGCCGTCAAAAGGGCTGCGTTGGATCGATTTTGCGCAAAATGGCCCTTATCTAAAGCACGCCAGGTAGCCAGTAGCACGCTCTAACCCTCACCCAGCCATGGAGGGCGGGGGACTCGCAGGCCCTCTCTGCTTTTTCTTTATTGACTTTTGAGCATGTCTCGTAATTTTGACACTTGCGTCCAAAAAAGGTCCAACTAATGGCTTTTCATCCACATGAGCATTGGTAAAGACCACACCAGTCAAAATTCTTAACACACTGAAAACAAATCACATGTTATGAACTGAATGCGTAACTTGCTTGTTCTAAAAAGATCGTCAACTTTAGTGATGACTGTGGCTGAGGGTGAACGACAGGTCATCAGAGGACATGCTTAGTCAAACATGTCCTATCGCTCTTTCTGCGGGATTTATGGCACCTACACTAGCAAGAATGTTTTGCTACGATCCACCACGTCAACATCATTTTGATGACGGACATCACACGGCGAAGTGAACTGAATATATTGACCCACGGTTTCTCTCAGTCAGAGAAATGTTCAGTATTGGTTGGCGTAATTTTTGCCACGCTTTGTGCACAGATGCCGTACTGGTGATTTGTCATTTTTCAGTTAGCTTTGATATCGGCTCTTGCATTATGTGTCACTGTTCTTCAAAAGGTCAAGCTAGTTCATGATGTCGGCTCATTAGTGCTACACCCAGCATCTGAACCATGGCCTGCGATTGTGATTATTGCAGCCGCAAAACGCGTCTAGAAGAGCTTGAACACACTGCCTCGGTTTTGCTCTTCATAACATAAAATCCGCGCCATGATTGTTCCACATTCCAATACACTGTGCCGCACTGTGACCGCGTTTCTCTTGGCCTGGTCTTTAACATGGCCGCATACAAGTCACGTGCAAAAACTTCACCACATTGCGCCACATGACGTTTGCCGCATCGTCCCAAGTATGGCACATAAAATAGTTTCACAAGTCACGTGCAAAAACTTCACCATATTACGCCACATGACGTTTCCCGCATCGCCCAAATATCACACATAAAGGAAATAGTTTCCCGCATCATCAAGTCCGACCTTGACCCGTCAAAAGGCTTCATATCACGCACTCAAGCCGACGTTTTGTCAGCGGGGATGTATCCGCGACCACAGAGGCCATTCGGTTAATAAGGACCCAAAAACCCTCAATTTTTACAACCAAAAGATAGCAAACAAGATGCTGTTGCTTACGGGGACTGCTTTTCCTGAAATGGTCTGGGTGTCATATCGGCGAGAACATTTTCTGCCATCTAAGATGTGGACAGTTCAAGGCAATGTGCGTGAACTGGAAGGTGACCTATTGGCCCGGAACCCCAAAACGGATATCTTAAGATACCTTAGATATCGATCAACACCACGGTTTTCGTCCCGATCCTCTACCTGCCTTGGATAAAGATTAGTGGGGTTCACCACCCCTCCCCCTCGACAGGCGAGGGTGTAAAATGACTCCGTCGGGCGAGCCTCAAATTAGGCCATGCTATTGAATGAGCCTGAATACAACGCACATCACGGCGGTGCCTCGCCTGGGCAGGTGCGCACACCTCCCAAGCTACCGAGCTGGCGCCGCGCGGCTGCCGGTGGCAGCAGCAGCCGGCGCCGCCGGCCCGTGTCGCACCTGAGACCGAGGTCGCGCTGGATGCGCTGGTAGGCGTCCAGCAGCTCGGATGCCGAGAACCAGCGGGCGTCCTCCAGCTCCGAGCGGTCCACCTCCAGCTGCGGCCGGACAGGGCCGCGTCACGGCCACAGCGGCGGACAGACAGGACAGGGTTACGGCCACAGCGGCGGCCGGACAGGGCAGGGTCACGGCCACAGCGGGGGACGGACAGGACAGGGTTACGGCCACAGCGGCGGACGGACAGGGCTGGGTCACGGCCACAGCGGCGGACGGGCAGGACAGGGTTACGGCCACAGCGGCGGCCGGACAGGGCAGGGTCACGACCACAGCGGCGGACGGACAGGACAGGGTTACGGCCACAGCGGCGGCCGGACAGGGCAGGGTCACGGACCACAGCGGCGGACGGACAGGACAGGGTCACGGCCACAGCGGCGGCCGGACAGGACCAGGTCACGACCACAGCGGCGGCCGGACAGTACGGGGTCACGGCCACAGCGGCGGCCGGACAGGACGGGGTCACGGCCACAGCGGCGGCCGGACAGGACCAGGTCACGGCCACAGCGGCGGCCGGACAGGGCTGGGTCACGGCCACAGCGGCGGCCGGACAGGGCTGGGTCACGGCCACAGCGGCGGCCGGACAGGACAGGGTCACGGCCACAGTGGCGGCCGGACAGTACAGGGTCACGGCCACAGCGGCGGCCGGACAGTACAGGGTCACGGCCACAGCGGCGGCCGGACAGGGATGGGTCACGACCACAGCTGAGGACGGGCAGGCCCCGGCCCATCCACAGACCGCACGCAGAACAGGCACCGTTACAACCAAGGAACAGCGCCCTGTGCCAACATCGCGCAGTGACCGGCGCCAAGACATGACAGTGAAACGGTGACTGTGACCACACGGTAAAAACATGACAGCGACTAGACGACGATAGACCCCGCGGTGAGGACATGACAGTGACCGAGTAAGGTCACAGTAAGGATAAGACACCACACGGTGAAAACATGACAGTGACTAGACGGCGATAGGCAAGACGATGTAAGGACATGACAGTAACCACACGGCACACACAAGGCCGTCACACAGTGAAGACATGACAGTGAGCAGATGATGATCGGCTGCACAGTGAAGGCACGACAGTGAGAAAACACAGTGGTAAGCCCCAAGTGATCCGAAGGTGACAGGCTACAAGTACAGAGAATGACTGAACCAAGGCCAGACAGTGAGCAGCTTCAGAGCCACACAGTGACCGATCACAATATCAGACAGTAGCTGGCGCGAATCCAGGAAGCATGAGGCCATCGTTCAGTCATTAGGACATATTACAGACATGCCATCAGCCTCCATTTTTCACGATGTTTTCAATCTATGAGTTGCAATTTCATCTAACTCTGAGCGACAGTCATCCCACTTCAGTCTCAAAGGTTACAGTCTAATCTCACCCCGACCTCATCAGTGAGAGTCCCACCTCAGATGGAGCTCCATCCATCTGTTGAGCGCGGCTCCTCTCGCCCAAGGTGAGAGGATCGTCTCACCTCGGTGTGATCGGTGAGCGCGTAACAGCCGACCATGAGACTGCTGCCGTCGAAGGGCCAGTGCTGGGAGCCGGCGTACCGAATCTGGTGCACGTCCAGGCCCACCTCCTCGGCCACCTCGCGCCGCACGCACGACTCAATCGTCTCGCCTGGCGGAGACGAGCGGAGATCACGACCGGACCCGATGCTGCCCCATCATCCCACACCGACCGCGACCGGACCCGACGCTGCCCCATCATCCCACACCGACCACAACCGGACCCGCTACTGCCCCATCATCCCACACCGACCGCGACCGGGCCCGATACTGCTCCATCATCCCACACCGACCACAACCGAACCCGATACTGCCCCATCATCCCACACCGACCGCGACCGAACCAGACACAGCCCCATCATCCCACACCGACCACAACCGAACCCGATACTGCCCCATCATCCCACACCGACCGCGACCGGACCCGACACTGCCCCATCATCCCACACTGACCGGACCCGACATGGGCACATCATCCCACACCGACCACGACCGGACCCGACACAGGCCACATCATCCCACACTGACCGGACCCGACACAGGCCACATCATCCCACACTGACCGGACCCGACACGGGCCACATCATCCCACACCGACCATGATCGGATCCGACATTGGCCACGTCATCCCACACCACGGCCTACACCAGTGGCGTGCATCATTTATTGGAGCTCGTCAAGCTCCAGGAAGCTGGCCAACGGAGCTCTACATGTGGACGCATAGAGGCTCATGCCCATGCTGTGGTCGGCTCCATGAAGCCGACCACACAGCTGTATATGTAGACAGAGAGATGCTCACCTGGCTCCAGGAAGCCGGCCACACAGCTGTACATGCCCGGTGGGTGGCGCCCCTGTCGCACCAGCAGCGCCCGCGTCTGTGCCGTGTCCGTTACCATGGTGATGCCGACCGGTGGCGTCACGGGATACTGCACTGTCTCACAGCTGGGGCATCTGGCGAATGGACGAACTGAACTGGTGACATCGCAAACCGTCAGTCGTTCGTCTAGCACATACAATGCACGCAAAAAGCACGGTTAACACAGGCTACCCAATGCACACATTTCAGCTTCATCTATGTAAAACGGTAGTGTGCGGCGACAGTGCCTGCCGCACTGTCGCCGCCGGCTGGTGTCTCGCCGTGTCGCTGAGGCGCCGACCCAGCCGCCACTGACCTCTTGGCGTGGCCGGCCGTTCTGCTGCGCAGCTCGACGCCGCAGTTGGGGCAGAAGTTGGTCACCGCCTTCCAGTGGAGCACCGCGAACGCCTGCGGCAGCCAAGCGGCCGTCCCGCTCGCTAACATGGCCGGCACAGCCCAACACGCGACACCGAGCAGGCGCTGAGCGGATCCTCAACACAACCACACCTCTAACGAACATCCTTCTGTTGATTCGCAGTGTGTTCCACTGACGTGTTTTCGTGTCGTGCGTGCCTGCGTGCGTGCGTGCGTGTTCAACATGTGCTCGCGCTCCATCCACCTGCGATGGGTTCCTGAACTCATGTGCCACTGCGCTTCTTTAACAGGCCCCCATGCACAAAGAGCTCGTTTATCAATACCGTTGCCTCGTTTGAGCGCACTGAGACTACAGAGGCCGTATGGAGTATTGGAGTTACTGCTTAGGATGGTTGTATCTTACTCTAGCCACGAACGTGTACAATGAAGACGCTCTATTTTCTCCCTCGGCTTGGCCTGCCTCTGAGTTTCTACCTGTCTGTTATCTCACAAACAAACAGACAAACCAGACCATACCATATTGACAGCCCTTATGTATGACGTGGTGCCTGCCTGAGGTCAGGGCGGATAGGAGGATCAAGGAACCATGCGTACCATGTCCACAGTTCTCACTCTCACTCCCTCATACTCACTCCCATGTTTACCATGTCTCACTCATGCCGCGCATGCACGAGGCCAGGTTGGGGCTCAAAACATCGTACTGCGGCGGAAGCTCGCCCATGTGACATGGTGTGAGCATAGGGCCCAGACTGGGAAACAGTGGCATACCATGTGGACAGAAGGCACATGTGACATGGTGAGAGCATAAGGCCCAGACTGGGGAAACAGTCATGTGGACAGAAGGCACATGTGACATGGTGTGAGCATAGGGCCCAGACTGGGGAAACAGTGGCGTAACATGTGGACAGAACGCACATGTGACATGGTGAGACCATGAGGCCAAGACCGGGGAAATAGTAGCGTACCACGTGGATAGCTCGCACATGTGACATGGTGTGAGCATAACACCGGACAAGGGAAACAGCACCATACCATGTCGGCAGCACTCACATGCGACATGGTATGTGCCTGAGCCCAGGGCAGGAGGAAGAGCGCCGCGCGTGGATCCACGAACTTGGAAGCCAGGGCGGTCTCGGCCTGGGCGGCGACATCAGCGCCGCCTGGCAGTGCCGCCGTGAAACACGCCTGGCCCGAGTCTGCGATGTGCAGCAGGACAGCGCGACTGGCCACGTCTTCCCAGGGACAGAGACTCTGCAGCTCTGGGAAACAGAGGGATGTACACTGCAGCTCTGTAGCATGGAGGGACAGAGACTCTGCAGCTCTGGGAAACAGAGGGATGTACACTGCAGCTCTGAAGCATGGAGGGACAGAGACTCTGCAGCTCTGGGAGGCAAAGACACACGGACTGTAACTCTGTAGCATGGAGGGACACAAACTCTGCAGCTCTGAGAAGAAGAGCGACATACGGCGCAGCTCTGTGGCATGGAGGGACACAGACTCTACAGCTCTAGGAGGCGGAGACACACAGACTGCAGCTCTGTGGCATGGAGGGGCACAGACTCCGCAGCTCTGGGAATGGAAGGACTCTGCGGTTGTGGAGAACAGAAGGGCAGAGATTCTGCAGGTTGGGGGCACACAGGAGCACAGACCCAGTGGCTCTGGACAACAGAGGAACACAGACCCTGCAGCTTTGATAATGGAGAAACATAGCCTTTGCCGACCTTATGAGCAGAGAGATGCAGACTATACAGCCAAACGCGGTAGGACATGTTCTGGAGATCTGGTGGAAATGACACAGCTCCTGCTAGCCAATTTCTTTCTGAGCTTTAAATTTACATTTCCATGACGTTCTCTGAATAAGCGCCTGGCGCAAATTAAATTTTTGAGCGCAGCGGCTCGGTTTCAACATTTTGAGCCCATAACAAGAGTGTAGAATGGAGAAGTGCTCATGAGAAGTGAGGGGTGCTCCTCTCCCAACTGCAGCAAACCACCCAATAAAGACCCGCCCGACCAGCTCTGCGAGCGGCGTACCTGAAAAGGTGATCCACCTCAGCTTCTGGGAGCCATGTTCCATTGAGTTCATCTGCTTGCCTGCCAAATCCTCACTCTGGATGTTAATCAGTGGTCTTTTGTTGAGGAAAGGCAGGAACAGGCCCCGTTCCATCATTTCAGAACATCTGTGTTCAAGAAGAAAGGAGCCAGTTAATTTGCTGACGGAGATCAATGCATTTGAGAACAGCCCATCGGAGCTAATAGACAGCACGACGCATCTCCGAGACAGACATGGCGGGTCGCGTTAGGTACAGCGAGCCCGTGTGTTGCTCCACTGAAGGGGGCGCTGTCGCGGCACGCCCGGTTGACCCAGCCCGGGCGAGGGGTCAGCCGAACCCGATCCACCGACCCGCCCGCGCGCACTCCCGCATCGAGACAGGTGTGATGGGACACATCGGCTGACCCAGCCCGGGCGAGGGGTCGGCCCCACCCGACCCACCGACCCACTCGGGCGCACCCCCGCATCGAGGTCACACGAGCCAGCCAGCACGCACGCACCTCCGGCCAGCAGCATGGGATCCCTGCGCGACGTATCCCGACACCCAGGGTGGATGATGCGGACATGCTGATCTTAGGAGCTCAACCTCAGCGAGGCTGTGTAGGCGCACCGTCGGCAGCGCGCTTCGAACTGACACTACAGACCCGTCTGGTCGCGAGCCCCACCTCCGAAGTCCATACCCCCTGACGCAGCGGCGGAACTTCGCACAAATGTAGAAAGCGTGGATGAAATTATGCACGATTCCCGTCAGGTTTGCGTTGAAGTCCTCGTGTGGTCAGGGCAAAACACCGCAGGGAAGATATCGGGTTGCAGCCGCCTGATCCCTGTAGTTACTGCTCCACGAAGAGGGTGCAACTTCTGCCCATGGCCAAAAGGTACTCTCCCCGCGAATGTGCAGGCAAACCTTGCCGCATTTCCTTGCCCCTACAAGCCACGTGAGACCGGCAACAAGACGACATGCAAATGGCTGCCCCATCTCGTTTACATTACCACGGCTTCGGCAACAGTCAGCTCCAGACACCGTTTACGAACCTGTAATAATGCAACTGGCACACGGTGCTTTCGTTTCTCAGCACGACATTACTGACTTTTCATAATGGGCCAGAAAACAGCTCCTTCGGTAATAGTGATGTTGGTTTATGACGCGCACGGCCGATTGAATGCCACACGCTCGGGTGACGGGAGGGGAAGGGAGGGGGATTTAACCTCTGAGACCTCAAATAAGAGAGCTACAGATACCAAGTCACAGGGTAAATGTTCGTGTATGTTAAGTCGTTTGAGTCAAATTTCGAGGCCCCTATAATGAAGACCTTTGGGCCAAATAAGGTTTAACAAGGCTGAACTTCAGATCAGTGTCTGAAGTGCCTCCAGACCTTCCCATGCAACTACCACTAGCCTAATTATATACTATATATATATATATATATATATATATATATATATCACGAATTACTAACGGCGACTTAATAAATACACGGAACGTTCCAAAAAACAAAAGGTTTATCGGTATCATTTCAGGTCAGAGACCTCCTCCGACCTTTATGAAGTCTAAACAAATTGTCTGATATGATTCGAATTTCTTGATCCCTGAGATCAAGAACTTTGAAATGAGTGTCAAACACTATCATGCAGAGCAAGTTCTCCAGGAAACAAGCAGGTTGCTTTTGACCACAGGCTGACCTTCATACCTGACCCACGATCAATGGGACTAGTTGTAATCCTTAAATTAATTGCCTAATTGTCCAAGAAACTGCCTCAAAGATGCATGACCTTGTCTAACATTCCGTTATCACACCAGATTAAACGATGCCCTACGAGTTGTCTTCGCTGACAGCCGTGACGCAACTTTGACCTGCCACAGGTCAGCCAGCTTTCAAGGTTTATCTATTTTTTATGGCGACAGACCAGTTATTTTATTACCTACAGGTGAACGAAGTTGGGCACGGCTGAGCCGCGCTGTTCGCAAGTTTTCTGGAAAACCTTCCGGGGTCAAATTGACATCCCACCCGAATGCGATGCATTCAAGATCTCCCGCCACTTGGCGTCGCAATATCTGAAACGCCGAACGCAGTGGGCGTGAAACGCTGCCAATCACGGGCCCACAAACTTGAAGCTGTTGAGCTAAATGATCTGCTCGCCACAGGCCATCGTTAGGGTGATCCGATTCCAGGTGCTTCTACTGTTGGACACTAACAGCAGGTTTTTGGACCGTGATTCGGAAGTACGTTAACAGGCGACCGCTCGTCTCGGGCCAGGGACCAGTAAGAGGCGACCGCTCGTTCGGGCTGGGGACCTGGTCGCATTAACAGGCGACCACTCGTCTCGGGCTGGGGACCTGGCCGCATTAACAGGCGACCGCTCGTCTCGGGCTGGGGACCTGGCCGCATTAACAGCCGACCACTCGTCTCGGGCTGGGGACCTGGCCGCATTAACAGCCGACCACTCGTCTCGGGCTGGGGACCTGGCCGCATTAACAGGCGACCACTCGTCTCGGGCTGGGGACCTGGCCGCATTAACAGCCGACCGCTCGTCTCGGGCTTGGGACCTGGGCGCAGTAACAGACGACCGCTCGTCTCAGGCTGGGATCGAACGAAGGCATGCAAGGCCCAGCTAAGGCCAAACATGCTCTCGCCGCTCCCATGTTCAACTCGGTCAGTAGTGACTCAGACTCCTCCTTGCGTACTTGATTAGCTTGTTTGTTATGTTCGATATTGAATACTCGTGCGATGGGGGCTAATCAGTGAACATGATTCAAAATAACAGTCAGAGGTATAATAAAATACTCATTGGAGGCATGATGCAAATTTTCAATTAGGGGCGTGGTGCACATTTATTAGGAGCCTGATGCGATGCCAATGTCTGAGCAATCGTCTATCCATCATTTCAGTATAGGGTGAGGACATGCAAACCTGTCATGGTCATCCATAAACTACAGCACGTTAAAAAATATTCTCCCAAGTCCTCATATTTGTAATTGAAGATGCCGTGTTGACTGTTGTCTGCAGGATCATTCCATACCAACTCAACCAATTGATGTCAACCGACCCCCTGGGATTCAGACAATTTTTGTCTGGAGGGATTTTCCTCTAGCTCCTAACAATCCTGATCTGATCTGAGCCTGACCTGATCCTGACCTGATCTGATCTGATGCGATCTGATTCCAGTGAGCTGGGCGCTACCGTGCGGTCGAAGCGCCCGAAAGCCCCAATTACTACCATTTGATCCCAGTGAGCTATTTTCATGCTTAAGCAATCAATTCGTCGTCTTCTGAAAAATGCTTCCCATCTTGGTCCAGTGCGGCACAGTCGTTCATCACACAAACTTTTTGCTGTCACCTCCCCGCCGTCTTGCATTCCCATGCACGCGACGAACGGACTGCGCCGTTGTTTGCGCTGCATCCCAATGGAATCATTGGAATTAAATTTTGAAGAAAAACGGTGCACGGTTTAAATGCTGCAAATTTAAACGGTTTAAATGTGCAGATAAGCCTCTCATGCACGCGCTTTGCGTTTTTCCGTGAAACGTTGTTTGTCGAGTTTGTTATCGCCTTGTTGACCTTCTCAGTACATTCCCCAGTGGTTTATCGTAGAGTTATAAATATTGGGATATTTTTTGAACAATTAGCCGTACTTTACTTCGTCAGCGTCGGATAAACTTGCAAGTCCGCAAGAAATGCCTTGAGGGCACCTGCTCCCGGTCAATCTTTGCCCTTCCCCAGCATGCATTCCTTACTTGCGAGGTCATGCCGTTTTGTCATGAATTGCGATTCCTAGGGCGATTCCCATGTTTGCGGCCCGCACCATCAGCTTAAGATTCTGATGATGAGTACAAGCTGACGGATGATGCTTTGTTCGATTCGGCCAGCACATACCATGAGGGACGGAGACTAGCGAATGTTACAAAACCGACGGGGTCGGCACTTTTATTCTTAGGCAAGTGACATACCCAAAAGAGGTATGCCCAAGCCAGGCGTTTCCAAAGCACCCCTTTGTCATCGTCTGTCTCAAATATTGATGCAGTCTTATCTGCTGATATTGTCGCTTTAGGAAAAAATATGTTACATCCCCTCATCTCTGTTTTGACACGACATTCGATGCTTTCTTCAGAAGTGTTGCGAAAACGCCATTTTCCCCTTTTAGAATTCGGTTTGTTCTGACCATTTTTAAAGGAAGTATCGAACTTGGTTTCCATTCCCTTTACAGTACATGGCACGTGGTCAGACTTGGCATTTTGACGCAGTGGCAGTGGCTTGCTAATTGGCTCATCGAACTTCACTACCAGCTCCGTTACCGTTTTCCTTCACGCAATTCTCTACCAGCTTTGCCCGCTTCAGCCCATCTAAAAATTTTCATTTTAACGACATATGCCAACGCAAGGGGCCGTTTGAGGCCTTTGGTGGCTGACCGCAATTCCATTTGAGGTTTTGTCCTCCGCCAATGACTTAAGAGTGTTTAAAACGGACAATATGGATACATGCTTTGCATATTAATTTTGCAATCGTGTTGCGGAGAGGGGCATATCACGTCCCTGACTGTGTCCGTAGACTAAGCGAACATGCACTCTTCTGGACTCGTAATCCAGCGGTACTGGGTACGAGTCCCAGAGCGGGCGCATTGATTTGGCCCGACTGAAATGAAAAGGTCAGCTGGCAACTGGCCAGCGAGGGTCAACCCTGGCCCGGGGCGGCCGTGTCGTAGCATTGTGCGGCACGTAAAACCCTCCGCAGTCCTGTCTGGCGCACGGGCGGAGGCGAAATTATCCGTTGAGCTGGGCGGTACGACTTGGGTGGTGGGTTCAGGGTACACGCAACAAGCTATGCTTAGCAGGCACTATGAACCCAGAATCACCCATACAAACATTCGGAATAAATTTATAAAAAACACACTAAAACTCATGAAGTCTTTGCTGTTTCAATTGAACATAAATCTGGTATGAATTTCATTTTCTGATCGTACACTTTGTTCAGCAAGCTATTTGATTTCGATCTCGACTGCCACAATTTGATACGACTATTCATTAAATACGGTCAGCTATCCACACAAAACAACTGACTTAAGTTCATTTGCCGACATCTCCACCAAGTCTGTCATGATGTTACCGAGTTGCTCTGCTGCTTTCGCCATCTCCCAGCTCTACTCGAATGAAAGTAGGTCTGGCCCTGCGCCTAGCGAAGAGCTAGTGGGTCTGTTGGTGGCGGGCATTAGGTGTCGACAGCGCTGTTGCTGCCGCTTATCTTTGGTTTTGTATGTGCTGCTTGTGACGGGCTGGTCACTGATCGCGCTGCTTGCGACGAGCTGGTCGCTGGTCGCGTTGCTTGTGACGAGCTGGTCGCTGATCGCGCTGCTTGTGACGAGCTGGTCACTGAACGCGTTGCTTGTGACGAGCTGGTCGCTGATCGCGCGGCTTGTGACGAGCTAGTCGCTGATGGTGCTGCTTGTGACGAGCTGATCGACAGCTGGCCGTAAGCTGGCGCATCATTTCGGACTGTCCAAACTGAGGGAATTTCCGGGCAAGACATGCATAGGGATTCTTCAACTTTCGGAAGACCGTGGAGATTGTTTCCTGGGTGAATGCAACCGATTCTCGTCGGCAATGCAGTTTTTCTTTGTTGGCACCACTTGTTAAACCGGATAGCATTACGTCTTCGTAGCTGTTGTGGGAACCCTCTTAGGTTTCTCATATGGCACCAACCGCTCCTGTGTGTGACGTGAGCACACCGCTTTCTTCATGCAGTCAGTGATACTTGACCTTTGTCTCAGGCATGAACGTGAATAGCATCAGCTGGTTTCACGATACATTTTCCGATAAATTTTCTTTGATGGCAAGCACTGTGGCCGCCAAAGGAGCGCTTCATTTTGGCCACCCCAGAATGGGGTATCTGGCCGTATCTAGCCGCCAGCATCGCTCCTTGATCCTTCCCACACACACGCAGCTCGAATGGCTGCGCCCTTTGAAAATGAAAATGTGAACAGGGAATACCGGCGTGCTTTATCTCATACCAGCCGGACTGCATGTCAGCAACCGATCCTCCCCTTCTCCCTGCGTGCCGCCCTAGACCATGTCACACACCCGAGTCCAAGAGGAGGGTGCGCTGAAGGGAGTGGCTGCCCACCGTTGTGTGCCGGAGGACCGATCAGGAGCTCGATGGGTGAGCTGGTAAGGAGAAGGTCAACTGTGCTTGTCAGGAACTCGGAGGTAAAAAAGTGAAGAGTAAGCAATCATGGCTATTTTGCATTGACAATGATTTTTTACGAATCGAGTTAGGAAATTCAACGATAAACCATATGCGTATTTATAGTCGTTTTTCGTTTATTGTCACATGAAATGTGGACATTTTACGGTCCATCGTCTCATTATTGAATCTGCGGTATGTAATAGATACCATTCTAGATACGATCCATAAAAATCTATCTTTCTAAAACATTAAACACAAGACAACATTTATGACTTCAAAACAGTTGGTTCAATTGCTCTGATCCTCTCACGATCGTGTTCAGAGCTAGACAAAAACGCAAAAAAAAATCGTCCTATGTGGTCGTGTGTCGAAAGTGTTTTTTTCTTGGTTGGGTTGGCATGAGAAGACCCTATAGCAATATGGCACAGGTACTTACACTGGATACCACTGCTTTCACTTCTGGCTGGTTTTTACCAGCACTGCCTTCAGCACCTGAATGTACTGATAGCAGAAAGGCACATTATGTGGCACCAGTCAGAGCTGACTACTGGTGTCAGGCCATCTGAGCTTCCTGGGTTAGGTTTAATGCTCTGCCTGGCTGCCCAGGTACAGCATCAAATATGCCTAACATTGATTGTCTGGCATGCAGGTTTGCACCCCAGGAACCACAGTTATGTGGCTCATATTTTTGGCAGGCAGCTGGCCAAGAAACCTGGATAAAGCAAAGATGGCCTTAGCATTGTTTGGCAAGAACTGTTCAATGGAATTCCCTCATGAGTTAAATGCAGGGTTAGAGGCATTTACTGCAAGCCATGGTAAGGCTTTGGCTGCAAGGTTCCTCTGGAAAACACTGTCAAATTTGTGGCAAAAACATCACACTGAGCTCTGAAGACACAAACAAAGAGCAGTTGGACCTGAAACCAGTACATGCCAGGTAAATTCAAAATGCTTCATACACTTTATAACCAATTCATTCAGCACAAGTTTGTGATTTTAATGCAGTTATAATGTATCAATGTGTGAGTAATGACCTACTTGGAGTCATCATCCTTGGCAGCCTGCAGAAGCTTGATTCTCTGGACATAGCTGAGCGTGGAGCTGTTGCGAAAAATACCTCTCACTGAAGAGGGTATAACACAATTTGATAAAAGTTGCTTAAATGATATCATTTTTCTTTCTTCTGAGGCCAAAATGTTAGCAAGTGCTGTGAAGAGAAATACAAGTCAGAAAATTTCTGCAGGACCAAAAAAATGTTAATTTGGAAAACAACGAAAATCTATTCACCCACACACAAACACAGAGAAGTTTGCAAAGACCTCTTGTAAAGCATTCCATTTTAAGAACAACAGTAGAAAAAGGAAAGACTGCATCCTGGGTGGGGATAGCAAACAGGGGTGCAGGAACTACAGAGGCTAGGGGAATTAAAACTCTCCAACTGGCAATTTTTTATTAGCCTTGCGGGTGTTAACTGGAAAGAACTTGCCAAAAAAAATGTATGAGCCCCAGCATGGAAGGCTTGCCATTGTCACTTCTAGCAAAACTGGCCCCCTAGGCAGCAAACTTCCATTTTTGAGGGGGCTGAATTGGGAACAAGATCCTTAGTAGAATTTTGACATTTTCACCCCAGTAAAAGTGCAATGGCTCATGCAAACCTGCTAGTTAAATCATCATATTATATAAGTAACAAAAATACAAGAGTGTTTGCTTAAGCTCCCTATTGACAAATGATTGTTTCAACAAAAGTACAACTCACAGATAAGACAGTTGTAATAGCCTTATTCCTTTGAGACAGAATGAACATACAAATGAGTCTTTACCATGTCTATCTCATCTATACCTCCATTCTCATATTTTTCTACAAGGAATAATGATAATACTACTATCTTATCTACATGCATAACATTCCTTGCAAATGCACTTTCATGCAAATGCAAATGCACAACAATTTATGTCACAGTATAACTCATGTGGTTGAAGCTACTGACAGCAGTGAAACTACTGTGGAGCTATTCAAATACATTTTTGTCAGTAGAATATGATCCAGCATATATGCCATGTAACCAGCTTGATGCCCGAAGCAGAGTATTGAACAAACAACTAGCAGCAAACTGCCCATATCTGCCTTGCAAAGTAAAATATGCAGCTGGCAGCTCCCAATTGATGGGCCGAATAAACAGAGAACAGCCATCTAAATCCATCCGCCTAGAAGACCGGGTAGCAAGGTGATACCCACTGCCTCATCTTTTACATGCTGCTTTATTTTTAATGCTAGCAACTGGTGCATGCATCACACAAGCTAAAATTTATCTCAAACACCAGCTTAACAAGTCTCGCCTTATTTCCACACGAAATAACTTGGAATATAATCTTAAATCACAGTATGAAAGGTCATTAACAACCTTCTGACTTATCACATCATAGAAAAGGCACCAAAGAGCTGGCTGTACACCCAATGTTTGACAAACATGGTACCAAGTTAATGGGCACACGTGAATTACACCAATAAATATAGATATCCAACTTTTGCATAGCATCACACAACTAGACCAAAAAACCATTACCATTAAATCATTTAATCACGAAGTAGGTCATACTTATAATGATCAATGTACCGTACATCCACTTCTTTTTTCTTTTTTTAATACCAATGCGTGCTTTATTTTGTAACTGCTCCACCAGAAACGCCGCACAGACAAAGAGCCACAGATTTAATGCCGTATAAAAAATGCATTTGCGCAGCAAACAAATGATCTTCGTTGACAAAATGCATTGTCAGAATGAGCGATGGTAAAATACACGTGCTCGACACAAAAAGAACAAAATGACAGTAAAGCCGCTGAATCGGTCAGCCGCCAATTTCTTGACGGATGGTAGATCCTAACTGGCGCATGTGATTCTTGCCGGCGGTGCCTGGCTTCCCGTTGGCTTGGATGGGCGTGGCTGGCTTGCGTGGCTCGCCGGAGATTCTTCACTGGCGGTGGGACTGCTGCACTGCTGGCGATGCTTGGTGTCTCAGTGACAGGACTTTAGGCGCCGACGGCCGCGGGTAGTGCGCCGGCGCGCACCATACCAACGTACCAACGCATTACGTGAACTGTGTAAGGCGCCTGCTGAGGTCACAGCAGCCGCCTTTGGACGTGTGGTCTGGGATCTTTGTGGAGCCTGCTGAGGTCACAGCGGGACGCCCGGCCCAGGTTGTATGGAACCCGCCGAGGCCTCATTGGCTACCTCGGGACCTATGACCTAAACAGTGTGTGGAGCTTGCCGAGGCCTCAGTGGCAACTTGGAACTCATGGGCTGAACTGCGTGGGGAGCGTGCCACTTTGAAACGCGCGGTCCGGGCTCTGTATGGAGGCTGTTAAGGTCACAGCGGGAGTCGGCTCCCGACTATGTTCTTGAGGCCTGCTTTGGAAACATCGCGCCAACCACCGCGGTTCACGACTAGTATATCACAAGCTGTCTGCCAAGCTCAGCTCCGGGATCCAGACGGTCCAGATCCGGGATCCGGGACAGTTTGACCTCCAGGCTGGCCTGGCTCGACGGCCGTGAGCACCCGCGGATGGATGACAGAAATCGGCGACGGCAGAGGCGCGAGAACGGTGAGCCTGGCTTACTATACTGGCACCGTCGCTGACAGATCCCACTTAGTGCGGATGATGCAGTTGTAGTCTAGGTCAAGTTTTCCGAATCCACATACCTCTTATGAGCTCATGATATGAGCTCTAATGTTGTTGCTGTCAGATCATAGATTCTGCTAGATCATCGATTGCTGTCATTCATAGATTCATAGATTCCAGACAAGACCGCACGGGGCCAAGCGAAACTGGACGGGATTGGATAGTCAGAAAAGACCAGATCAAACCAGACAGGGCCTTGCGGCATAAGGAGAGGATTTGGTTCAGTGCACAATTTGATGTGGTTCAGTGGTTCAGGATAGACCAGACGCAGACCCAGACATAGACACGAACTTAAACACAAATATTGACACTAGACATAGACACAAAAGTATGAAGGACCTCTCCAGAGGACTGTTTCTTACATGCTTAAAACAATTTCAAAACAATACATGAAATACGCGAGCAATGACTCGATGTACTGCTCTGTTGCACTGCCACGTGTGTCGATTTCTCAAAATAATTGGGGGAGCCAGAGTCTTGCAAGTCGTCATAAGGGTACATCCACGAAACACTCCAAGAATATTGTTCACTTATGTTCTGTTCTGATGATCTGTTTATCGATTTTCAATACACACACACACACACACACACACACACACACCACACACACACACACACACACACACACACACACACACACACACACACACACACACACACACACACACACACACACACACACACACACACACACACACACACACACACTATATACATATATATATATATATATATATATATATATATATATATAACACTCGCATTTACTGCACGGTATTTAAAGCTCATGTGCGCACCAATAGTAATCCGTATGCAAGCCTGGTGGCTTACATCAGGTTCTTATAGAGACACTTGCTTTGTTAAGCTGATGGGAAGAGGTTGCACTTCTTTACTGCATGCTGAAAGTGAAGTCTGTGAATAAGTTACTATGATGTGCATAAGTATTGTTTTTATGTAGTTACTTATGCATTCAACAAGGGGAAAACATCGGCAATATGTGGGGTTATCACAACTCGTCTACACGAAAGTTCTCGACATTCCAAATTTTCATTAATAAGACATATGCATTTCAGCTAATAGGAACAAAACATTAACACTCTTCCACGCATCATTTCAGAAAATGGTAATCAAGTTTCCCTAAAACGTTTAACACATGTCCTTCTATTGAGAATATTTTTCTCCAACCGTTTCACCAAATACACATCGCGAGGCACCTGCACTTATGGAGAACGCTGTTCCAAGCTGTTGTGCCTCTGAAAAAGCGAGCCTAACCCGCTTTAGTTCGAATGTATGGCAAATAAACTGGCCATAATGCTACTGTCATGCACATTACAAGGTGATTGCAAAAGCGTCGCTGGTTGAGCTGGCTCTTCAGTGGCCATGCAATTATGTTCATAAAACATACTCGGTGCTCAGTGAGCTGACCCACGCAGGGGTGCAGCCAGTCTTGGTAAGGGGCGAGGGGCACAGAGTTGGCAAAGAGGGCCCACTCTGTTGAAAGGTTCCATCCAAAAATGAGCACTGGATATGGCCTCTTGATTTTGAAGGACATCGTTTTCTTTGCTTTATCCAAATATTTGCATTCTTTAAATGAAACCGAGACCAGAATGCTTCGGAGAGTGCCTTTCTGTTTGTATGTTGAAGTCAACAACTTGAAGGGGCTAGGCTTTAAAAAAATGCATATAATTTATTTACGGGCATTGTTTGCTTTGCAGAGGTTAAGTGGAATCTTTCTAAGCTGATAGCACTCAGCGGCAGTGTCGAAATTTGCATTGGTTGCACGGAGACATTTTGAACGCACATGACAGTGAACGTAGATTATAGATCGAAATGGGATCATCAGTTGATATTGACATGGTCAACTATGTTCATCTCAAAAAGTTCAACCTTTGCTCAGAATAGAGCAGTGGAATAATTACATAAAATAGCTCTGGCCATGCGAGCTGTCAAGTCTTAGACCCCATGCCTGGCGTTGCAGTCTCCGTCGGCCACGAGGCGTCGGCCCTCTTGTTAGTACTTGGCGGTGGCCAGTGGGCGGAGAAAAACTATATCGGTTCCGAAACGGTTTGGACGCGTTGGGATGTCAGTTCATGCGTTTTGAAGATAGTCCAGGAGCATGTCTCACCTGCACACTTGTTTCTATCACGGGAACGGATAAGCGTTCAGAGCGCCGCGAACAGGAACAGGAATTTGTTAGTGGGACAAGACAAGTGAAGATGGGATCTTTCTTTTCGTGTGGCTGTCGCTTTATATCTGTTCAGAGGACATTCCGTTTACTTGTGAAACAATAAGCAGAAGCATTGTTTAACATTGTCTCAATCTGATATCTCAGTGTTTTGCCTTTGCCATTTGCTCGCCGTTGCCTTGCTTGCACTTAGGCTTAAGAAGATGAGAGGGGGGGGGGGAACTCACCGTTGGGGGTGATTGGACATTGGGGAGGGGGTGGCAATGGCTCCTCCAACAGGCTACAAATCGACGCTTGCATGTACTGTATTGATTCAATTTTACCATTTCAGCAGTCTTGTAGCCGAAGCATCAACATATTTCTATTTTTCAACTTATTGTCATTTGTTTACGTAATGTTTACGTAATAGTAATGAAGCCTATAGAATCGCTCTGAGACCAAATGAACTGCTAGTAATGGAGGAAATACTCAAACTAGAAATGGTTTTACCAGAGACATGCTAAAGTTATGAGTGTCCAGCCATACACCGATCATTACAGCAACTAGACATCACATTATAGTTAAAAAGAGCTTTATACTAGGCAATAGGCAGCGTCAAGAGGGATCACAGTTCCATCAGCAGTCAGCATTTCTACTTGGTCCAGATTCTGGCACGTCTGTTGTCATGACACCTACTCGAGCCATAAACATAAACCTTAGCAGCTGTCGGGACGCATTGCCGTATTGAGCGGGTAACCACATAGGCCATACGGGATTCAATCAGGATAGGAGTCATTAAACCACCATGCTAGATGACAGACGCCACATAGCAGGTCTTTGCATAACAAAATTGATGACGAAAAGCATCTGCATCAGCAATTTTAGTCTCCACTACTTATGACGTCCAATGTGTTCTCACTCTATTTATGGGAGCCTCTTATCATGGGGCGGGTAAATAATGATCTCGAGGCATGCTAAGACGTTTGTGTAGGTAATTCAAGTACAATATGTATCATTTTTATAGATGCCACTATTTTGACGCCGCCACATCCTCACAGATGCGGATAACTAGGGCTCTCAGACAGGCGGGGTAATGCGGGGGTTTGTATGAACAAGCCGAAGTGGTCATCAAAAGGGGTGTTGGTAAGGCGCTTTGCATCCCTCACATGCTTCATTGAATTGGAAAATCGTTTTATTTCACCGATGTTATTGGACTAGGCATCCTGGCAGCAATTACATTTTGTTTCATTTACTTACATGCGCTGCGTGGCATCGGCATAGCAGTCCTCTTCGGCAAATGCTGCGCTTCTTGCTGGCCACCAGGCCGGGCAGGTGTTCGAGAGCTGACGAGTCTCAGCACCTGACGGAGTTAGCCACTCCGTGAGGCCATGCATTCCGCTGTTAGCTGGGTTTTGCTGCGGCGTTGGTGCTACTGATCATCTGATGAAGGAGCACCAGGTGCTGTCGATGAGTGGTGGAGAAGCAGAGGTGACAGTACCGGCGTCAAGCGTCTTGCTTGCTTTGTCTGGAGTTGGATGGCGGAGACATAGGGGTGGTGGTACCGGTATTCAACGTCTTGCTTGCTTTGTCTGGAGTTGGAATGGCGGAGACGCAGGGGTCATGGTACCGGTATCAAATGTCTTGCTTGCTGCGTCTGGAGTTGGATGGCGGAGACATAGGGGTAATGGTACCGGTATTCAACGTTTTGCTTACTTCATCTGGAGCTAGGTAGATTTGTACACATCTCCGGATGCTGTGCATTCCCGTACGTTGCCAGCGTCCAATCACAGACGTTTGGCGCAGGGTCACTAGCGGTATGTAGCTTGTCTTTTTATATTCACGGCTTGCGCTGATGACAACGGTCGGAAGCTCGGCGCCACAACAGGTTTAATGTATGAGTATGTCATGTGTGAATCTTTGTGTTTCAATGTTAACACTGCAGGTCGAAGAACAGGATGTTTTGTGTCGGAGAGCAGTCGGTTTGTGTCATGGTAAGTCAAAAAGTGCATGGAAGCCGTCGATGAATTGGAAGAGATTTTGTGATATATCCTCACGGAGGGTCCAATGCAAAACTTCTCTCACACTCTCCAATCGCGAAACGCGCTGCTAGTCCAACTTGTAAGAGACTACTTGTGCCAGTCAAGTAGCGTTCACGAAATACATTTGCACAGTTTCAACATTATTTTTCTGTGCTGTGGGCCAGATGTGGAACTTAGCTTGTTTAATCGATCCAGCCCATATCCGTCTTATGCCCTAGGCACATTTCTGTACGGACGTAGGCCACTTCATTATTTGGCCATAATTTTGACTCTTGCAGTGCTGGCGCATATGGTCTATATCTGCATATGGTTACAAGAACGTTTCTAAGCTGGTTTTTGATGCATTCCAAATATCATCACGTGCGGAGTATTCCGTCCTTTGGTAAATCATAATGGCAAACCACAACTTTCCAGTATCTCATTAACTGTATATGTTGTTCATCTGCTCGCTTTTTCATCCAGATACCACAATGACACGAGCGGACTCCAATGATCCAGCACTCCAGGCGCACAACGGCTGTTCTTTTCGCGGCCAGCTATGGGCGATGTTGAAGGGGGAATAGCCATCAACTTCTTCGTTATGTCTGGTGGCGATTATCCCGAGAGCTCCTGTTCATTACAAACAAGCTGGTTGAAATATTATCTTTTTGCATTTACAATTTCTCCGTAAGCGTTGCGCTGCATTGCAGACACGAATTGATCTCTTGCTGCCCTCGCATGGTAGGCATTGCTGGTTTGCTCGTGCAATTTCTCATCAGATGTTAATTTCCCATTGACAAAATGGTTGTGAGGTGCTGCGGTGAACACTTAACTAAACTTTATTTACGAGTAAGACAAAGTTAACATCTAATCACGCAATCATATCAGCTTCAAAATCATTCTGGTGCTGTGGATAGCAAGTCACAACTTAACTTTTCCCTTTTCGTCCGAGAGGGCAGCCTATGAAGTAGCCTTGGATACACTGCTTATTCCACTGCTGCCAAAATGGTACGATTGCCGGCGCGTACGATACACAAAACGAAGAAAGCAGACATATTTCGGTGCGTGTGGGGGGGGGGGGGAAGAAGCTGCGGATGCGACTCAGTAATCAGACAGCACGACGCATTGTTCAAGTCCGACAAGACTATCACCGGGAGTCGGACGTCAGGACATCCAGTGACCGGTGGCCTAGTGTCGGGATGTCAGGACAATCCGACGGTCAGTGGCACAATCCAGTGGCCGGTGACTAAGTACCAGGATCTCAGGACGATCCAGTGGCCGGTGGCCTAGTGTCTGGATGTCAGGACAATCCGACGGTCGGTGGCACAATCCAGTGGCCAAGTATCAGGATCTCAGGACAATCCGGCGGCCGGTGGCCTAGTATCGACATGTCAGGACAATCCGGCGACCGGTGGCCCAGTATCGGAATATCAGGACAATCCGGCGGCCGGTGGCCTAGTATCGACATGTCAGGACAATCCGGCGACCGGTGGCCTAGTATCGGAATATCAGGACAATCCAGCGGCCGGTGGCCTAATGTCGGGATGTCAGGACAATCCGGTGGCCAGGCTGGCCAGCGGCCTAGTGTCGGGATGTCAGGACAATCCAGTGGCCAGCGGCCTAGTGTCGGGATGTCAGGAAAATCCAGTGGCCGGTGGCCTAATGTCGGGATGTCAAGACAATCCAATGGCCAGCGGCCTAGTGTCGGGATGTCAGGACGACCCAGCGGTCGGTGGCCTAATGTCGGGATGTCAGGACAATCCAGCTGTCGGTGGCCCAATGTCAGGATGCCAGGACAGTCCAGTGGCCGGTGGGCTGGTGTCGGGATGTCAGGACAATCCAGCTGTCGGTGGCCCAATGTCAGGATGCCAGAACAATTCAGCGGTCGGTGGCCTAGTGTCAGGATTTCAGGACAATCCAGCGGCCGGTGACCTAACGCCGGGATGTCAGGACAATCCGGCGGCCGGGGCCTAACGTCGAGATGTCAGGACAATCCGGCGGCCGGGGCCTAACGTCGAGAGGTCAGGCTTCTCACTACCCTGACACAAGTTTGACGGAACGCCTGTCGGAAGTCCCAGCTAAAGACGACGAACACCAGCGGGTTGAGCACGGCCTTGACACCCCCGCTTGCAATCACTAGGGTCCAGATCAGGAAACGGTCGTGCGGCATCAGCACGCACGTCAGACTCTTGACGACCAGGATCAGACCGATGTACGGCGCGCAAGAGACGACAAAGATGGCGAGGAACGCCACCATGGAGACGGTGGCGACGATGTCCACCCGGCCCCGGTTGGCAGCTCTGGCGGGCGCAGCGACGGCGGACGGCTGAGACCGGCCCGGACGCGGTCCTGCCAACGGCTGCACCGCTGTCAGGGTCGAGGGCTGCAGAGTGAGGCGGATGCGCCCGGCGCCGCGTCGGGGCTGGGCTGACGCCGCGGCGGCGCCCAGCGCTGGCGGCTGGGGCTGGGCTGTGGGGCTGAGTTCGGGCTGGGCTGACGCCGCGGCAGCGCCCAGCGCTGGCATGCTGGGGCTGGTCTGCGGAGCTGAGTTCGGGCTGGGCTGACGCCGCGGCAGCGCCCAGCGCTGGCAGCTGGGGCTGGGCCGTGGGGCTGAGTTCGGGCCGGGCTGACGCCGCGGCAGCGCCCAGCGCTGGCTAGCTGGGGCTGGTCTGCGGAGCTGAGTTCGGGCCTGGGCTGACGCCGCGGCAGCGCCCAGCGCTGACAGCTGGGGCTGGGCCGGGGGCCTGAGTCCGGGCCCGTCTGCCGCCGCGTCAGTTTCTGGCTCTGGCAGCCGGAGCTGGTCCGACTCCACCTCAGGTATGGTGGCGAGCGAAGAGACAGGGCCGTGTCCGACGTCACGACGCTGACCAGGGACGGGGATCGTCGGCGTCTGCGGGCTCGCCCTCCTCGGCGCTTCGCCGTCTGTGCTGGATCCGGCCGGGCCGGGACGCCGATGCCTCCGAAGTGTGCGGGCCCCGCTGGACTGCCGACCTGGCATGCGCTTCCGGCTCAGCTGTCCGCGCAAAGACGAAGCGTGTCGCCGCAAGCGTTGTCTTGATTGCAGTGTTTTCTTCAGGATACTTGCGTGGCAGAAGCTCAGAATGACGAAGCCGATGATGTATTTAGTGACGGCGAAGGCAAGCACGGCAGAATTCTGCTGCCGCTCGAGCACTAAGGATATGCTGTAGTCTTCCGGCGTCCAGGCGATCTTTTCGCTGCACTTGCCGTAGGCCGATTGATTCAAAACGACGTGTGAGACAAACGTCGGTGTGATCGCGACCGCCGTGAGCAGCAGTATGTTTTCCGTCGTTACCGGAAAGCTCTGATTCCGGATCACGATAAGATAGCGCAGAAAGGTAACAGTTACTATCAACGTGAAGTCGGTATCTGCGGTAATCTGCAAGATGACGAAGCGCGCGTGACAAAGCCAGGGGTGCAAAGCACCCCGCTCTCCTGCCTCTATGATCGGCACTGCTGTCCACAGCAAATTGGTCATGGAACCAATCGAGATCAGGTAGTTGATGACCGTGTGCAGTTTTCGGTTGAGAACCACAGTAAGCACCATGGCGAGGTTCAGCACGAGCGCCGACCCCACAGTGAGCACCATCACGGCCATGAAGACGGCGCGCATGGCGGCGGCGCCGCTCCCACCGTCGGCCCTGGCGCACACCAAGCTGTCCCCATCTTCGTGCCGGTGGCAGCGCAGCTGGAGCGCCTCCTGGACACACTCGCTCGAGAGGTTGGCAGGAAGCTCCGCCACCGGAAAAACCGACATGACTCCACCTCTGCAGGGTGACAACTGACGACCGGGAAGCTTTTGCTGCCAGCCGACAGTCTTCGGCTTAGCAAAGAGAGCTGGAGGCCTTGTTAGCGTCCAGCTAATGCTGAGAGCGGTCGTTAGACCGTATCTGGAGAGTTCCAGGACACAATAGGCCCATACAGGGCCGTCGTCCTTAGCAAAGACTCCCCCCCCCCCTGGAAATCCCAGGTTCAGCCCACGCAGAGTTTGGTCGACTTGTGGTTCATAAGCTCCAAAAGATCGCTTGCAATGAAGCAAATCACGGTCTTGAGCAGTAGTTAGCGTCGTCGTTTGGGCTAATGATTTTGTAGCTGGGGCGTTTCACCATTCCCTGAGTCCAAAGAAGAAACAGCTGACTAATGCTACCTTTGCGTTTAAAATGTTCTGCGGTATCAGGGGAGAGCCGTGGGCCACCACGGAAAATCAATGCCTGGCCGTGCCACAAAAATGTTGAATTCACCACTAAAACCCCCAGATAAAGTAGGTTCTTAAATGCGCAGCAATTTCTGGGCTAGGAAAATAGATAGCGGTCGATTTATTGCAGTGTTAATGCAACACAACGCGAATTGCCTAACTGCAGCAGATCTCATCAGTATAATTATGCGTAAATGACTTAATTGAGAGGTCACGTTTATTTGTCTACCTGTATGTGCAATATATATATATATATATATATATATATATATATATATATATATATATATATATATATGCATCTCTCTCTTTCCCTTTCTTTCCTCCTCTCTCTCTCTCTCTCCTCTCGCTCTCTCTCTCTCTCTCTCTCTCTCTCTCTCTCTCTCTCTCTCTCTCTCTCTCTCTCTCTCTCTCTCTCTCTCTCTCTCTCTCTCTCTCTCTCTCTCTCTTTTGGCCAAGCGCACCGCGCCGACGGTTGCACAGACTGCAGTAACATGTTCGCCTAAGGCGGGCCCAGCCTTCGTGACGACCTACGACATAACCCTTGTCTCGTCTTATGCCGGTGCCTGTCACAGCGTGCGGTAGAAGGAGCGTGCTTTGGCGCTTGGCAGAAGGACGCTTGTCGAAGTACGAAGGACGAAGGAGAAGTATTACACGAAGGAGAAACAAGTTGCACGGAGGCCGAGCTGCCGAAAGCGTACCGCAAAGATCGAGAAGCGCCACGTGCAGCGCTCTCCCCTGCAGGGGAGTGTCATTTGACACAAGGATTAAAAGCACGGACAATCTAATCAGGAGGCGATGTGCATCAACCAACTGCGAGTCAACGTCACGTGACTGGAGACGGCGCTGTACTGACACCAACGGCGCCGGCCCCCGCGCGAGGCGAAGCAAGCGCCGCCCACAACGAGATGATGTACCGGTATCTGATGCCCTGAGTGAGTGGAACAACGTTATGCAGTCGATGCGTCCAAGTGATCCCCGAGTGTGCGATAGGTTACACAAGTTGGAAACGGCGTCGCGTCTTCGCACACAGAAGCAAGCGGGTATGCCTTGCCATGATCTTTTTGTTATGGCATTCTTGTCACGTCAGTTCTGTCTCAAACAGGCGACATTGCCTTAGTGGTAACTTGAGGCTGGCGATATGCGTAACCTTTCAAGCACTGCATTCAGAAGCTGGAAGTGCTCACTCACGGTAGAACTGGCACAAAAATGGCATTAGCGTACACTCGTACTCATGGGATATTGCCCGAAAACATTTTTCGTGGCCACCTGTAGGAAATATCAGCTCGCATCACGCTGACCTAAGCCGATTGAACGTTTTTCCCAATGCATGAACGGCGTGTATCTTACTGGAACTCTTTGACGAACGTGAATTCCCAACCGCATGTTATACGTCCCAAGCAAATGCGATCTTCGAGCCATCGACCGGGAAAATAAAATCACCTATAGAAGGATAAACAAGTCCTTTGGAACCAGCAATGTGCTGCGAGCGCGCATATCTTGGGTAATTCTAAATTCGCCGGAGCTGTTCACGACAAGAGTGATGGACGCGTTCTAATCCTAGGGTTTCCCCCCTCGGCAACGCCGCAGCCCGCCGCCCCGCACCTACAACTGGGCTTTGTGTGCCCACGTCATTGGATGGGGCTTAGTGAGCACAGAACGCGCCCCCAGTTGTAATTCGAGATCAATTTCTTCCCCAAAGCAAAGGCGTATATTTGAATAACCCCTTGAAATCGCTTTGCGCCGTGCCACTGGCAGGACAGCCAACTTGTCACGCTAGTATCCAGTGACGGAGTCGTCCGCCACAAAGCTAGCAAAAATATCGTGAATTGTCTTGCCTCTGTACCTCCCTTCGGCTGGTGACACCGCGTTCAGCTTCGCTGCTGCACTCTCATCACGGTCCGGGGAAGGCTGAGGTCAGCAGCACAGAACATTTGCGAACGATCCGGCATGACCGGTAGTGTTGTGCCAGCGTAGGGTGATGGTGCAGTCAGAACGACTGCAGCCATGCAAAGGAATCTCTGGTAAGGAGAATGTCGTTACCAGGGAATCACATATCTCCTTATTGGTTGAGTGTTGTCCAACCATGAAGTGTTCGAAATCCCGTGATGGCTTCTGGTCAAGTTTCGCCACTAGACAAATGACAGTGAGTGGTCCAGAGGCGCAGCCGGAGTCTTGGTAGAGGGGTGGAGGGTACAGGGTTGACAAAAGGCCCCCTAATAGTGACTCAAAGAAAAAGTTGATTTCGAGGAGGCACTTTTCGATTTTGTTCTCTTTAACTTCCTTAACTGGAACTGGAGGCAAAAGCTAACAGATTACACAATTCGGGTAACATTTTGAAGCAAATGAACTGAAGGAACCGTGCGTTGAATAACTGCGTAAAATAAACTACCTGCGCATTTCATTTTACAGTGTTTCAGTGACCGCTTTAAACTGACTGCACTCAGAGGCTTTGCCACAACTTTTCTGAGTACCACATACCTATTAATGGCCCATGCGCGTAGATTGTGGATTGAAATGGGGTCAAGAATTTGTGTTAACATGACCAATCCATGTTTTCCTAGAAATTTCCAACCTTCGTTCAGAATGTATTGGTGAAAACAATTGCGCAGCATAGTTTGAACAAGCGCGCTTGCAAACCTCACAAACAAAACCACGACACCCAGCGTTGCAGTCTCTGAAGGTTGCGTGGCATCAGTTCCGCGGTTCATAATAGGTGGCGGCCAATGGCGGACTAAAAAGATGGCGTGCTGCCAGACACAGCTTTGAACGCTTTAGGACATAATTTCGTTCGTTAAAAGGCAGTCCGGGCGCATATTTTATCTATGCAATTTTTGGACTAATAATATGAACGGATTAGCACGTACAGCACTATGAACTGGTGCTGGAACACGCTGGTGGAAATGGAAGAGTAAAGGCATAATCTCTGTTTTTCGTGTTGTAAGATGATTGTTATGATGATTGATGACTTAATATATGAGCTAATGAGCTAATGTGCCGAGTTGACCTGTCAAAGACGTCTGACCATGTCAACCACTATTTGCTGCTCGAAGCAAGGGGCTTCTATGACGTGTAACACTCTCGACTATATGATTGCCTGCCGTCATGGTCAATTACATCATGTAAAACGATAAAACTCGAGCATCGACAGACGCTCAACACCTGCAGTGTAGCCAGAGGTCGTGTATTTATCCTTTTTCAGTACCTTCGGTAATGAACGGAGCTGTCATGCGGGTGCCGCAAAGCTTATGTGCTTCGCGAATGACTGCCAGATACTTGTGAAAGGAAACTAAAAAAACCTGGACATACCTGCAAAAATCATCGAGTTGAATAACTGCAAAAGAAGCTCGCCCACAAAGGGATGAAAGAGAACCCATCAAAGGCGCAGTGTAAGCTAGCTCTCTGGAAGGGGTCAGCGCGGCGCCCGCCCTTCCTACCAGGGTGAGAGGCAGGCGACGCCATATAGCCTCAGCAGCTGAGTGCGTCGTAAAGCCCCAATGACATGACACATGGAAGAGGTCAGCGCGTCAGAGGCCATTCCCGGTGTGCGTTGACGTCAGTGATCGACTGCCCGTTGCAGAAGATGAGGAGACAGACTGGATGCCAGCCTTGTTGGCACCCTGCCTTGGAAATCACGCATCCAGACGATGGTGCAGGAGTGTACAGGATTCTCCGTACGCTGTTACGTCATCGTTATGTGATGTCATGGAGCCGCATGCGCTACAAGCAAAGCAAAGCTACAAAAGCGACACTGCGTGCGTTTTTTTAACTGCCCAACTATAGTAGGTACAGCGGACGAAATATAGATGATGCGTTTGTAACCTGCTTTTTGACTGGAGCGATGCCAGATCTTTGAAAGCACGATCACGTCAGTGCCGCGCGAAAGTAGTTGAGCTGGTCGAGTCTGGGTGAATTCACTCAGCACCGGGTAGGCTGGCAGATGTGTCATCGCATGGCCATTTGCGAGCCAGCTCAACTGGAAACGCTGTTCAGGTAGACCCGCCTTGCGTGTGATCTTGATTCGCAGAAGCGCGGTGGCGTTCCTTTGCCACTCGTTCGAACTGAAGCGGGCGAGCGCAGATTTTCGTTCAGGGACGCAGGAGCTTGGAGCAGTGTCATCCCAGAAGCGAGGCAACCTCGTAGTGTATGTGCGGTGCCCATTTCAAAAAGTGGTGAAAAATATCTACTGGATGGCATGTGTCTTATTGTATTCGGGAGAACAATAAATGGCAATTTTCCTAGAGAAAGTGTTCCGCATTTGTGTGGCGGTTTTGGGGTGAAAAGTTATTTTGGAGATCATTCGGTGTAGTTCGCGGCCTTCCCGTGCTCAAGATCCAAAACCCTCTTATTTCTGAGCTTCACGCCCGCGAATATGTGCATACTATTTTGTGCTGACTTTTTCAAAGTTACCCAGTCGTGGAGGACGCCATAATCACGTCATTCTTACTCTGCTACCCTATTGGCCAAGCGGCGCTCAAGGCCAAGCAGAATACAAGAAGAAGAAAAATAGTCGAGAACAGAACAGAACAGAAGAGCCGTTCATATCTATTGTTCGAGAACAC